CCCCCAGAGTAGCTGAGGGCTCCACAGTCTGCAGACGCCTTTAAAAGGGCCCTAAAAACCTTTTTAACAAAGCCTTCTGCTTGTACTTTTAGTTTCGTTAATTGCTTTGTTGACGAAAATTGTTTTTTATTTCTTTCTTCTTTTTTCTGTAGCACTTTGAGATTTTTATTTGGCAAAAATGTAAAGTGCGTTACAAATTAAATGTATTATTATTATTATTATTAAATTCATAAATTATTACGATGAACTAGAGCCTGAAGAAACTGCAAGGATGACAAATAAACTGCATTTAGGTATGAGTCATTTACTCAATAGTCAAATGGAATAATACTTCCAGAAGAGGAAATAAAAAAGTGGTACCATTGGTAACAGTTTACTAAGATCTATGTACATTTACTCAAGTTGTTTGGCCTTAAACACACATATCTTTAAAGTGCATTGCTGTTTATTTTTGTTCCAAAGCTATATACCAAGAGTGTGTTTTTTAATGAGTTAACAAGAGCTTGATCAGCTAGACTGTCACCATCAAACCGCCAATCTTGCTCCTACTCCTTTATTTTGCCGTGGATATTGCACATCCACGGGCCCACAGCTTCCCTCTTCTGAAGTGCTGCCAAGGCGCTCTCGATATCTACTGAGAGGTCCTGGCATTATAGTTCAGTACCTGGCAGCCAAAAAAAAGCTGCTGGCGCCTTCCTCTCATAAGCCATCTGCAACTGCTTGTGTGTGTATCAGGCACTGACAAAGGCCACAAGTGTGTCCAGGCATGTCACAGCATCTAAATAGCCGACTACGTCTGCCGTGGCACTGATATCAAACTAATACTCCAGGGGGAAAAGGAAAATGATTTTGCCTCTTTGGCAAAAAAATGTTTGGATGTCATGCTCCTTAACGTTTATCTGTCTTTGAGACCTAAACCACATTTCTTACTGCTTTTATACATTCCTGTAAAAAAAAAAAAAAGCAACTGTCATTAAATCATTTTTAAAAGCTTACCCATCCCTGCACCACCAGCTCCCTTAAAAGGTACAGTATGAAGCAGTGGAGCATGCATGGCCATTCTCCCCGGAGATTATCGCTAATAAGAGGGCCTGTATTTATAGAAGATCCCCCCCACAGTTGATACCCCTAATCCTGCCTCACCCCTTTTCATCCCTGCCTGGACTGCTCACTCTTTGCAGCCCTCAGATTCAGTCCCCAGGTTAGCCTCATCCACTCCACTTATCATCCGAGGTAGAGACTCCTCTCCTTCTTGCATCTTTCAGATCATTTTAAAAAGAAGTGGAAACATCTGTTTGGCAAGATTTCTTGGAAGCATTCCAGGCGAGTTTCCATTTTTCCTTGACTTCTTCGTTTGTCCAATTTTTTCTTCCTCCTGCTCTTCTTTGACCTGCGGCTAAGAGTAAGCAAAACAAAAATGTCGACCAGCGAGCGTTTCGACTGCCACTACTGCAAAGAGTCCCTGTTGGGGAAGAAGTACATAATGAAAGAGGACACGCAGTACTGCACTAAGTGCTATGAGAACCTGTTTGCCAACTGCTGTGAGGGCTGCTCTTTAGCAATTGGATGTAACAGCAAGGTAAGGAAGCAGAATCTCTACCCTGAGAGTTTTGCATTTTATTTTGGTAAGTTTTAAGATAAGATTGTTTGTATGTATGTAAAGCTTCAAAGTGAGAGTGTCACATGCATTTTTAACCTGTGCATATTCCCAATAAATATTTCCCTTACCTGGAAGTTAAAAGCGAAATATACAATGTGTTAATATATCTATAGGACCTGTCTTACAAGGATCACCATTGGCACGACCAGTGTTTTAAGTGTGCTAAGTGCAGCCGATCTCTGGTGGAAAAAGCCTTTGCCGCCAAGGATGATCTGCTGCTCTGCACCGAATGCTACGCCAATGATTATTCCTCCAAGTGCACCACCTGCAAGAAGACCGTCATGCCAGGTATATGACTGGATAATGGTTATGATGATGATAACCATGAAGAGGGTTAAACCATATCTTCTAAAATGTATATCTGAATACATCGTCACATGTTTAGTAGTGTTAGTGTAAAAAGACTAGTAGTAACTTTGAAAGTACTAAAGAACCCATGTTTGACAATTGAAAGGTCACTTCAACACTTTGTGATTGATGTAAAAAAATATATATACAAGTACATATATATAAGAAATATATAGATACAATTTGGGGAAGTTAGTATTTTCTTTTTTGTTATTCACAGAGTTTATCTCTGTACAGTAAATATGAAGCCCCTTTATTGATAAGAAAGATCTCCATCTAAAGAATTCCCAGCCAGCAGTTCTTGTGCTAGCCTAGCTTAGCAGGGGAACTGGAAACAGAAGAAACCAGCTAGCTTGAATCTGCTCAGAGATATCAAAATCTTCCTAAACCAGTGCCTATAAAGCTCAGAGTTCAAAAAAAAAAAAAAACACCACAGAAAAACCAAACTGTCAAACTTGTATTTTACTAATGTGTCACCACAGTATGAGAAGCTAATCGAGCTTAGTATGGAAGACATGCACCCCATGTACAGAGGGTGAAGTCCCCGAGAGCGGGCAGCCCGGGTTCAAATCCAACCTGTGGCTCCTTTCTTGTGTGCCATTTCCAACTCTCTCTCTCCCTGATTTCTGCCTCTATCTACTCTCCTATCTCCTATGAAGGCGTAAAAAAGCCCAAAAATAAATCTTAAAAAAAAAACCTCCATGACAACAGAGTCCATCAAACTGAGTGAGATTTTGTGAGCAATGGAAAGCTCCAGAACATCGAATCAGTGGCGCTCAGGTGTCTTTTGAATTGCTCAGAAAAACGCATGCTGGAACATCTGCAACTGCATGACAAAAAGACATCTTTGTCTGGTACATTTAAAACGTATATACCTTAAACTATAAATATTTAAAAACACCAGAAAACAATGCAGCCTCACTCTTTCCCAAATGTCTTTCCTAGATGATTAAGACGGCATCGTCCTCCTACAGATCAAGCAGGACTATTTTGGGCTGCAGTGTGTTTCTGTCATAGAGGTACCATATGCTGACTAAGCTGCTCTTCTCCCTCTGTGCCAGGTTCCCGCAAAATGGAGTACAAGGGGAACAGCTGGCATGAGACCTGCTTCCTGTGCCATCGCTGCCAGCAGCCAATAGGAACCAAATCCTTCATCCCTAAAGACACCGGCTACTTCTGCGTGCCCTGCTTTGAGAAGCAGTTTGCCTACCAGTGCTGTGCTTGTAAGAAGGTACGGCTACAGCTGAGTGTTTTTTTTTTTTTATGTATCGACTGCTGCCATGCAGAAAATCCCCCTGACTCCCTGATGTTTTAATCACACTCAAGCTGTGGCTGCAGAATCAGAGGACGCACGGTAACAGGAGTGTGTCTCTGTGTCTCGTTCATCTTCCAGGCCATCACAACAGGTGGAGTGACCTATCAAGACAAGCCGTGGCACCGCGAGTGTTTCCTATGCATCAGCTGCAGAAAGCAGCTGTCGGGCCAGCGCTTCACCTCCAGGGAGAATTACCCATACTGCCTCGAGTGCTTCAGCAACCTGTATGCAAAGAAGTGTGTGGGCTGCACCAAGGCGATCACCAGTGAGTCAGCGGCAGAGCTCATGTTTACATTCACTCTGACCCGCCATATGAGACACCGATTTGCATTAATGTAAGACTTGTCTGATTAAATATAAAACACTTGCTGCTTTGTTTGATGTGTGCAGGTCTGGCAGGAGCCAAATACATCTCGTTTGAGGAGCGTCAGTGGCACAGCGAGTGTTTCACCTGCATGCAGTGCTCCGTGTCGCTGGTGGGACGCGGCTTCCTCACCCAACGCGACAACATCTTGTGCACCGACTGCGGCAGGGAGAAGTGATGCTTTTTTTTTTTTCCCTTGAAGGGGTCACAGTAACACCAACAGCTCTTATTCTGAAAGAGAATGGGTTTAATTCATGAATATTTCTCCATAGCATGCCAGGTACATAAAGAAACTCTGAGTGTCAGATGCTTTTTGGTTTTAAATATGAACACATGGCCCACAAACACTAAACAGTGATGTTTTCATGCAGATGTTTATGAATACTCGCGTGTATGTTTAATTTAGGATGCCATTTCGTTTATTTTGATGAATGTTTATTTTGCTTGTTCAAATGTAAAATGCTCCTTTTCCTTACAAACGTTGGTTTCAGTCAAGGTTATTTACAAGCTTCTGCATTTAGAAATTAGTCCACTGACGCGTAACTTAATTTATTGAATAATCTATAAATAGTTTGAGTCTTTTAAAGCGTAATCATGGACAATTGCTGGTTTTAGTTTCTTAGGCCTTTTAAATTTGTAATTCTTTTTGTGTCATATGACATTCAACAGTTTGTTTAGCTGCTTGTGTGGATACAACAAAAGCACTTAAAAATGCCGTTTTGGATTTGAGTAGTGTGAGTATTTTCTGACATTTAATGGACAAAAATGTTTATTGATGGATTTAAAAAAGAGTTGATGAGTCACAGCCCAATTTTCTGACTATTATCAGGCATGTTTTTCTGTTATATGTAAGAAAATTTAAGAAAACATTTGACAAAAATGACTTTTAATTTCTGCTTTGCTCATGTAAAATAATTCACACTTCAATAAAGGCCTTTCTGGGAATATCACACTGATATGGATATCATTCCAGGTCTCCTTAAGGTCCTCATAAAAAGTCTTATTTTGCATAAGATGCCGTCCAGAGCGATAGTCTGCATATCTCAGCATAACAGATTTAGCTGATGTTAGGTTTGAAATCCAGATTTTTATAGGAGCATAATGTCCCCTCTCAGTCACCCTTTGGACAATCATTGTGCGAAACAAATCAGTGTGTGCTTCTTCTGTGCTTCCCTTGACCCGGTCGCACCCAGCTCGTTCACATTGTAAACAAACCAAGAGCGACTATATATGGTTTGATCAGCAGATCACTTGCGCTTCTACTTGTCAATTATCCACAGACCAAAATCCGCAACTTTGGTTCAAGCCAAGAAAACAGGCGGACTTAACTGTGGGCTCCTCGAAATATCTGTCCTCTTCACCATACCTACTGTTTTGATAGTTGTAAAAGATGTTTTTTTTCTGTACGGGCAGTTTTGATGAGTTGTGTAAGTGTCCTCACATGGCAGGATGAGTGGCGGAAAATGCTGACTAAGGTTTCCTGTCACATGGGACAAGAAACTGGTTTTCACTTCATAAACTTGTGCAAGATCAAAGAGGGAAGGGAGAGCAGCGGAGAGGTAGGGACATTGTATTTTGCAGATTTCATTAAGACCTTTTTTCTTTACCCTGATAGTTTGTTGTATTTTACCCTAAAAGTCAGACATCTTTGATTTCCTAAAATGGCTTTCAGAGCATTCACACAAACACACGTGTATGAAAAGCAGGCAGCCTTAAAAGAAAAAGACAAAAGCAGCATCCAGTGCATCGAGTGCTATGATCAGAATGTGTACATGGGAAGTAGGGATGCAACAGTGCAGCATCTAATCCTCCCCAGCAGCACCAATGGAGACCAGATAAAAACCAGAGACAGTAGGGTGAGAAAACTCGGCTCGAGCAACCCCGTTGTCCAACTGAGGGTAGTCCCACTTTTCAACCATCTTCTGGTCCTGTGGGACCGGAGCGTCACAGCCATCAACATGTTCTCCTTACAGCCGGTCCCTGCGCTGAAAAAGATCCAGCACGTGTCTTTGTTCGAGGTGTGCGACTCGGCGCTCGTATCCCAGAAAGCGTGTGTGGAGATGGTGACTTCCTCCAGCCGCAGGAAGGTGATCCAGATCCACGTGGTGGGCGTGGACAGGTGGGAGGTTGTAAAAGAAGTCCCTCTAGTCCAGGACCCGTGGCGTTGGCAGTAGATGGCGCTTGTTTGTGTGTAGCACCAGCGACAGGTATCTCCTCCGTGATATTTCAACCGGGAGCAGCCAGGAGCTTTTCCCTCACACTCACAGCAGGCAGCGAGTCTTTGTTACATCAGCTGGCAGAGGGGAGTTCCTCCTGAACGGGCCTGAATCTTTGGGTAAGTGCTCCAAAAAAATAAATGTTTAGACACGTGTTGCTCTCCCTGGACTGTCGAGGAAAGAAGCCTCCATGTGTCGCCTCTCCTCCAAAAGTAGCCGCACAGTAAATGATCTCGTGTCACTCCTCCATTTATCAATCTAGCCAGAGGATATTTGTTTAGCCAAGATATCATTTTCTCCATCCTCACCCCTCAGGCATGTTTGTGATGAAGACGGGGATCTGCCAGCGCCCCCCCCTGCAGTGGCCTCAGGAGGTGCTGGCAGCCCGAGTGTGTTTCCCTTACATCTTAACCCTGCAGCCCCAAGTGCTGTCTGTCTACAGTGTACTAGATCAGCAGCACAAGCAGACTGTGAGCCTCAGAGGAGCCAAGGGTCTGCACTCCACATCAGGTACACCAGGCAGCACCCGTTCATCACCTAATCCTGCCAGATTGCAGACGGAGAGGCTGTCAAATTGTTTTTGTTTAGACAGAAAGAGATGTCTCTGTCTCAGTTTGCGCTGATTCAGTCAATCATTCTGCCAATCTCCTGTTCCTGGACTCTTTTGTTTCTGAAACCCAAAAAAAAAAAAAAAAATCTCCCCCTCAGATGGTGTGTTGGTGTTCACAGAGAGAGACATTTTCAGCCTGCGCCTGGTGCCGTTCAAGGAGCAGGTCCAGGCACTGGTGAGGCTTGAGAGGGTGGAGGAGGCCTTAGTGCTGCTGGACGGAGTTCAAGAACGTCACCCGCTCGACTCATACGAGGTGAAATGAAATGTGTAGACGGAATAACGGAATCTAAACACGCCCTGAGTTTGAAATCGAAAGATATCTGTGTATAACTGACACAGGCCTATTTATAGTACTTACCTTTGAAACAGAAAAAATGTAATACTATTCTGCAACACACAGGATTTACACCTCAAACTTATAAACCAAAGGGAGTATATAACCATACTTTTAACAGCTGTCTTTAGGGTGCATGCTTGATTGATAATGTTTTCTTTGTTCCTCTTATTTAGATTTAGATTTTAACATTTGCAACAAAGAAAAGTAGCTGTGACAGAAACAAGAAGACCCTTTCCATTCATCCAAGCTGTAAGATAACTGCAATGCAATTAGTTTCACCACCTTAAGGTCATGAACTTTTAGAGAAAATATAAATATACACCTTTTGTAAGCACAAGACCAAAATTCGGATATCCACACAGTGAATACAATTAAGTAGGTACATAGAAATTTTACAAAATCAGTAAAAACTTCATCCTGCTGGTGCTGTTAGAAGAAAAACTCAGTAGTTGTTGACATGGTTCAATCTGGACCAAAGCGACCTGCAGACTAACCCGTAGTGCATCAAACACCAAAAGCACAACTTTAATTTTAGATTCATACAAACCACTGATGTGTAGATAATAATCATACATTACAAACTAGTGTTTGATTTCAATATTCCATCGCTGATATGAGCTGCTCATGAGCGTTCATGCTGTTGGACGATTACAACCGAGGGCAGCAGATGGTGTGAGAGATTTTGTGTCATTTGTGGCTCATAACGCAGGTCACAGCGTAGAGGTGACGAAGGTAGAATTAATACGCCGATGAGTCATCAGTAGTTCTTTATAATTAGTTGTTTTTCATCCTCTTTTAATATCTTATCATGCTCGTTTCTTTGTCTAAGATTTGAGCTGACTTATTGTTGGTTTAGTGAGTTGATGCAATGTGTTCCTGGTTGAAAGAGGATCTTTTTGTACCTACAGGAGCTGCAGAAGGACATCACTTGCCTGGCTGGATATGTTCATTATTACCAGCAGGGTTTTTCTGAGGCCAAAGATCTATTCATGTGAGAATAAAACCTTTTACACATTACATATTCCAAACATCCTATATACATCTGAGCAAGCAGGGGGAAATTTTGTGAAGAGTGGGTCTGCTGAATTCTACTCCAAAGTCTAACAAATCAATACTGCCTTGAACAGTAAAGGTGGTCTGGACCCTAGAGAAATCATCCGCCTCCACCCTGACATACAGTGCGGTCAGTGCGAGGACTTTCAATCCCGGCTTGATCAAGAGAACAAGGCCAGGGATCTGCAGGCGCTCTGGCAGGAGGACAGGAACGCGCTTCATCATTACCTGGTGTTCCTGGGAGACTTTCTCAGAGCAGTCAGGGGAACAGAGCGAGGCCTGGAGTGCAGTCGGGAGGTGGACTGCGCCCTCCTGAGGCTGTACGCAGAACTGGGAGAGGATGAAAATCTGCAGCAGCTTGTAGCTTTCCCCAATGAGTGCAGGCTGGATCACTGTGTTCCTGTTTTGGAGCGACACAACAGGTGAAAATGAATTATTGCTGAAAAGGTGGACTGTAATCAGACTTAGTAGGAGCTCAAAAAAAGGCTTCAGTTTAATGTTTCTCTGTTTTATTTTTGGACATTTGACCGATTTGCATTTTCTCTGATGGTGCACTTGCTCTTTTATTTATTTCTCTCTCTCTCTTTTTCTTGTTTTTTCTACAGATATTTCACATTAGGCTCCCTCTATCAAAGCCATGGAAAGGAAATCGATGCACTCGAGGTATTATTCCCCCAAACTCCACAAATTGTATGCATAAGATTTGTTTTGTGTAACAGTCGTATGTTTCAGCCTTTTCTTTCTTCCAGACTTGGGTAGAAATTGTCAATGGCGCCCACAAAGACCCTACCTGCTCTGATGTGTACGGACACATAGTTTGGACCCTCAGCCATCTAAAAGACAGTGATGCTGTGTGGAAATTTGCAGGCTGGACTTTGCAAAAGAAACAGGAGGTACCTCTTTAATTTGTAAGCTCTGAACCTAACTGCAGAGGGCAGAGTTGTACAATACAACTTTGTGTTTCAGAGATAAGCACAGAGCAAATTGCCGCCCAATCTATGAACTAAATGGCTTCGCTTATAAGACACGATTGGTGATTAAATGGCCGTTTCGTTTTTTCCACTTATTCCAAAATAGATAGGTGTGCAGATTTTCATCGGGCGTCCACCAGATGCTCCATTAGAGACACAGGATGTCCTTGCTTTCTTGGAGAAGTACCCGCTGGCGATGCTTTTGTATCTTGAGTTCTTAATCCATGAAATGAAGAGTGAGGTGGGTACAGCAGCCTCTACCTAATCTAATCACCTGACTCCTTTATTAAATGCGTGTAAACACGATTGGTGTAATTCACCCCCAGGAGGAGAGGCATCACAGCCGTCTGGCCCTGGCATATGTTAGTGAGGCGCTGAGGAAGGAAGAGGAAACCGATTTGATGAAGACCAGGGGGAAGTTGCAGCAGCTGCTGTGGGAATCTGAGTTCTTTGACGTCTCTGTTGTTTACGGTGCGTGGACGCCCGATGAGAAATTAAATAAGAGCTACATTTCACTAAATGATGTTTTATTCTCATCGCAGAGAGAATCAAGTCTACAACCCTGCACGTCGAGAAAGCAATCCTCCTGGGTAGAGTTGGTGAGCACGCCGAAGCGCTGCAGGTGCTCGTTCACCAGGAGAGAGACCTCCAGGCTGCGCAGGCCTTCTGCTGCAGGGCCTCCCAAAACCAGGACTCACAGTTCAGACAGACCCTGCTGTTGACCCTGCTCCAAATCTACCTGCGCTCTCACGACCTTACTAACGCCGCCATGGATCTGCTCAACGACAACGCGCAGGTCTTTACAGCAGAGAACGTGATCCGGATCTTGCCGGATACCTGGTCTGTACAGCTGCTCTCCCAGTTCTTAGTCGCATCCCTCAGACAGACCTTCCACCAGAGGCGGATGGCAAGTCTGCAGAAGGCTCTGAGCCAGGTGGAGCTCATGCGGCACAAGGTCATCTGGGTGAGTCCAACAGGATGGTTCACATTTTTTTTCGCTCGGTTGAACATTATGTGTATTCTCTTTCCTTTTTTCACTCTCTCCTCCGCAGATGCAAACCACAAAAACAAAGTTCAGACTGGACGAGGAGCAGAAGTGTAAGGTTTGTCAGAGAGACTTTGCAGAGCCACAGTTTGCTTGTAACCTACGAGGTGAAATGATGCACACAAGGTGTTGTGGCCCCTCATCGTCGTAAAGACACAGATACACCAATCTATTCTGTGTTCATGCAAATACATGTGTCTGTTTCCTACACGGTCATTCCTCGAGATTAGACTGGGCAAACTCTGTACAAAGATTCCCTTCATGCAGTCTGGACCAGACACTTTCCCTAATTAGAAAAAAAAAAATACATTTAGTAAATAACAGGTTTCAGAATGCAAAGAGAGCAAGCCGTGCACTTTTAAAGAGTGGCATGTCTGAGCCGTTTCCTTCAGACATTGTGGACAGCAATAGCTATAAAGTGAATCTTGGAGGACACTCGGGTGGATGTGCTCACTGATCAGACAGTACTGTTTTCACATGGAAACCAGCTGTGGTAAACCTGATGACTGGAGAGAGCTTGACCATCTTCCATCGCCCTATATATGCATCTCCGCCATCCTGGTTTCCATAAACTGTGTATATTTGTCTCCATAGAGCCGGGAATAGAAAGTCCACTGAGGAGCTTTTTTTTTTATGCTTTTTTTCTTTTGCATGAAAATGTTTGACCCCTGCAGATAATCACAAGTACATGTTTAAAAAATGAAAAGCAAACAACTTGAAGAAATGAAGAGTTTGGGGTCGCTTCTGTTAGTTTTGTTAAGCAACCTAATAAGATGTTTATGATGTTTCTGAACGCGGAAAACAGAGAAAATCATCCACCCTGTATTATTAGGGAACATAAATAGATGTGTACTCCAAATAGTAGCACACAAAAAACTCCTCTGTGTCCACATGTACACTATAAATCTGGTAGATCAGCGTAAACACATATAATTAAGTTTGATGACACTCAAACTGTATTTATTTTTTCTGTAATTTAGTCATTAAGTCTAACCATAACTGTTAGTATTTCTTCATCCTGATGCATTTTGGGACAGGAGCGAAGGAGACGCCTAAACGAGCAGAACAGTTGCAGCATTTGGCTCGAGTCTGAACACTTGTTGGCCTTGGGTGAGGGACTAATTGCACTGTAGATAAATAGTAGATAATGAGTTCATTGGAAGGCAGTATCACTTTGTGATGCCCTTGCCAAGATTTCTTCTGTTTTCTCCACTAATGAGGAGTAGTTGGAGTTCTCACTGAGGGTTTCATATACTGTACAGTGTGAGTGTTGTGAAGTCCTTTCAGAGTCCAACTAGAATTATGGTCTACAAGATTACACCGGGCTCAAGCTTTGACCTGAAATTTCTCACTTTGATTGTATAACTTTAACCTCTGACTCATGTAAATGAGCTGAATCATGTCCCAGACACCACAATGTTTCTGTTATGTGTGGTCAGAGTGGAAGATGCCACGTCCACCCTGAATATCTACATGTCTCCCAATCTCTAATTCTCGTTTAGGTTAGTTCATGTGGTTCACACAAGAACACAAAACGTACAAAGCACAAAGAGACAATGTGTCAACATGTAAAGTGGGCAACGTAGACACCAGTGAATGGCTCATTTGAAAAACACAATTAAAAGGAAATGTTATAGGTCATACAAAACAACCGAAACATCAGTGTTCGAACTGAAAAAAGAAAGAGATGATGCTGAAATATTGCACATTTGATTATTTAAGTCATTTTCTCTTTATTGTTTCTTTCGGTCTTATTGCTTTTCTTTCTATTTGTAATAGTTTTCTTTCAAAAGCCTCCTGTGGACAGGTGTTGAGAACTAGCATGTATGCTAAAACACTTAAACAATGCATCTGGTTCGTCCAATGTATCTGTGATGTCCATGCCAAATAAAGTCAATCTAATCTGTATGACAGTTTCTAATAGTGTTCATTGTTGTTTTCCAATCACTAGTTCATGCCTTTTTTTGTACGTAGACAATGTCACATAGGGGTTAATTTTCTTTCAACAATCACTCCCGACACTTGATGGAGATTTGACCAAAAGATGTTCCCTAAAAATGACAATGGAGATTTTTAGCCTGTCTAGTTAAAAAATGATGTAATTGGGTTCATTAAAAAAAAAATCTAAAATATATTCAGTATTTCAGTATCTTTCACCCTCCTGGATCAGCATCTAAAATGTTTCAGTGCAAACAAAAACAGCAACATCATCGTCTTCCTCACTTGTTTTGAGAAACTGTCGTTTTTATGTCTTCACTGTTTGTGCTGCTGCGCTGTGATTGGATGGAGTTTGGGCCGTGCCTGATGACCAGGGACCTCTGGGTGGACCTGAGGTCAGGACCAAGTCCACTCCTCTCCCCCCTCCTCTCTCTCTCTCTCTCTCTCTCTCTCTGGCTTCCTCTGGGAGCATTTATGATGTTTTGAACACCTGGGGTTATGCTGAGCCTCAAATATGTTTCTCCCATCTTTGATGCTGACCAGCAGCCAAAAGTAACCAGCAGGTAAAAATAAACACAAACAAGTCCAAGAACAACTTCTCCTACCTAAATAAAGATCCATAAAACCGTTTGCTACATTTAACTTTTTTAAACTTTTATTTTGTTGAAAAGGATCCCCCTGTTATTGAACATGAGACACTGATATCAGTCTCTAATGTTCATCTGATTGTGACTCATTTGGTTTGATCAGTAGAAAGGATCATTCATGGAGAAGTCTGGGAGGGATATCCAGACATTGGCCTCCCATTATAAATACATATGTCACCACAGACTCAGTGCAAAGAGGGACAACAAGAACATTTTCTTCTTGTACTTTTCTAAATATAAGAAAAGACGTCCACAGTCTGGACTGTAGGATGTTTACATGGTAACATAGCTTCGTTTGGCACAGAGTACAATTCCATAGAGATGCAGACTGACAGGTCATGTTAAAACAAAGGGCTTTATTGTCGAATGATGACTTATGATGACGTATTTGAGGAGTATTGCTCATAAATGGGATGGTTGAACTGAACTGCAGCATCAGGCTTCTTTGACAGACATTGTGAGTTTAACGATTCATTTAAAAATCTAAATTTTTATCTTCTGAGATTTTAAATAGTCTCATAACTTCCAAGATTTGTTTTTTTTTGTTGTTGTTGTGGCTCTCAGTCTCTCCCTGCTAAGTGTTAAGGCTAGATCCTTAACGCAGTAGAACGCCAAATGGAGCGGCAAGAAATTCAGCCAGTCTCGCAGATGACTGGAGTAGATCCTGAAGTATGTACTCATTCAAAAATAGACTTTGAATCCAGAATCGTTTTAAATCAAAAATAGATTCTGAATGAAGTCGTGACCCCAAGAATCGAAATCGAATCGTGAGACACCCAAAGATTCCCCTTTAAAGAACAGCAAGATTGTTTTGTCAGAAAATACTAATAAAGCATGGAGAGGATAAGATCAGCCCAAAAATAAGTAGAACCGCTTTGATCCACAGGGGATACCAAGATTGTCAAAGCCAGATGCAAGAAAAAAAGTTTTATTTTGAAAGAAAACAAACGGGAGAGGGGTTTGTGAGGCCAACATGCAAATAAGAAACGTCTATGGCGACAGATAACAAGGAGTAAAGTGTATTGTTTGAAATGTAATACCTTTAGATATTCATTGAATGTCATAAAAATACATGAGGAGATATATTACACACTAACACAGACTCTGGGACACATGCTGTCTCAGGATTTAGAAAATCAAAGCAGGTATAAAACTAAATCAAACGAATGGGAAAACGAACACACAATGCTCCTCTGTGCATCGTATTTATAGTCGAAGCCACAAATTGCTGTATCATGTCCCACATGACGCATTTTTCAGTCTCTTAGTGGTCGCGCAGAGACAAGGGGAATCTTAATTTGCAGCCCTTTTTGGTGGCAATAATAGTAAGGTAGCAGAAAACCTAAAACGATTGAACTTTAATTTCCACTTTTCTCAGCAAAACTAATTCTATAGATATAGCAGGGAAAACGTTTGGGGGAAAAATAGCCGAAGAGGATGATCAAAACATGTCTTTTTTTAACTTCTCCCGAAGGCAACGCTCTCATTTTCATGGTTTGCTACCTTGGGGTTTGGCTGAGTGCCACTGGGAGAAATGTGTAGGGTGGCCCACTGGAGACACACAGGGCAGAGACAGTGACCACAGACACCCACCCTGCCCTTCTGCACGGAGACTTTCCCTATATACATCATGCTTTATGGTATAGAAAGTCAAACCCCGTCGACAGGCCTGATACTGTTCACTGTTTGCCTCTGTGACGGCTCAAATCTGTTTTCTACACTGGACATTTCCAACCCTAACCCTAACCCTAACCCAGGAAGATATGATGTACTTTAACTTTACCACTTCAAGAATGATCATCCCCGCTCCAAAAACAAGATGACCTGTTATGTTGTTCCCTTTAGACTAAATCCTTTTTTAGATCATCCGTACAGACGTTACCATCTATCACCGTATTGGTTCTTTATCTTAGCCATCCTGTTTGACATAACAAGGGGTAGATTCAATGACGTACCCTCATGTGTCCTGATTCAGCCTCATCTAACAGGACTTCATGCAAGAAATGAAGAGCTTTGTTTTTTGTACACCTTATACCATGCTCCATGATATTGATATAGTGTTGTAGTCAAGATCACACTTAACCGAGCCCAAGACATACCCGAGAACAGAGTGCTCCGAGACCGAGACAAGACCAAGACATTTAGGGATTAAGACCGAGTCAAGACCAAGACCAAGGCAGGGTGAGACCGAGACCAAGACCAAGACATTTAGGGATCAAGACCGAGTCAAGACCAAGACCAAGGCAGGGCGAGACCGAGACCAAGACCAAGACCAAGATCATAAATATCAATGAAAAATCATCATCTTGTGTGGGGCGGACCAGTCTCACACAGAAGCTGAGTGAGACAGGGGATAAAAATCAAATGATGAATGAATTGAATTTATGTATTCTTTAAGAAAGAGGTGTTTTCCTTCTAATCAAAGTAATGACGTGGAAAAGAAGCCCAGTCCGAGATCGAGACAAGGCAGAGTAAAAATGAATTTGATTCTGAGACAAGACCTTCAAAAGACCAATTTCGAGTACTACAACACCACTGTATATTGATATCTTTCACTAGACCAGCGTCGGTGAAACACAGGGGTATGCTATCGAGGTTTTACATTTTCTTTGAGATTGTGGGGAAATAAATGATGCACAAGTCAATGAATTGTTTGGTGTTTGATCACCTACATATATTTTTTGTGCCTTTATTTTAGAGATAGGACAGAGGGTAGAGTCAGAAAACAGGGAGAGAGAGAGAGAGAGTGGGGAATGACATGCGGGAAAGGAGCCACAGAATCCAACCCGGGCTTCCTGTTGGAGGACTACAGCCTCTGTACATGGGGTGTGCGTGATTACCACTACGCTACCTGTGCCCCTTATCTGAGTATTTTTACATCAAATAATGAATATCTCATAATTTCAACTTCTTTCTTCATATTTATGATTTACCATTACTCATATTTGTTCAAATAAAAGTTAGTTGTGAACTTATACTAATGTGTGTCGAATTGGACATTTGATTTTGGATAAATTTATCTATAAATAGCACGGTTGTTGGGAATAGTGCACTATTTCTCGTAAGGCTGAAATCATATATCTCCAGTAAAAGGTTGTGAACTAAAGTGGGCTGGTCCGAGCCATGAAACTGCCTGGCTTTAAATGAGTCCCACTCCAGCCCTGATCTAGAGGATTGTAATCAGAAGCTAATTTAAGCCCAGAGCATAGTGCTACTGCCAGGAGGTCATTCTGCTTGTGCCCCATTTAAGTTTATATTCAGTTTTTATGGTTATAGACCAGTTCCTAGTTCGAGTATGTTTCCATGTATTTCATGAACAAAATGTGGGAGCATCAGTGTCCTTTGTATTCGGTTTGGGAATTCTTGGGGAAAGATTTTCACCTGTGTCTCTGAGTCTCCATTTGGGTCCTTTTACCTAACTACATAGGGTTGTCATGGTAACAGAGTTGTAAAGTTTGATGCGATACTATTACAAAACAAAAGTTTACCTGTTTCCAAACTATGGCAACAAAAATAGATGGTAGCTACTCCTACATGGACAATATGTCAGAAGAAGACCTCTGGTGGAAACCTTGTGATTAAATAAAAACTTGACCGAGTGTGCAGCCATATCTTCTTCTTTCTAATGTTTGGGTATTACCAATGTTTATGTGCATTTTTGACACTGTCTTGAGTTGTCATTAAAACATAAAGGGTATAAAGCCCGATGTTAATAATCTCAATTATCCCTCATAATCCAGATGAACCGAGCTCTATGTTTTCATGGACTGCACATTGTCTCTCACTGATAGCCGCTCCGGGTCTTCAGTTTATCATCCTAACAAGTTTCTTGCGTTAGGATGTCGTAACCTCGATCTACCAAAAGGTCCTCACTGTATTTCAAAATAAAAGCAGGGTTGAATTCAAACAGCAAGTAATCTAAGCTAAAGAAGAGTACACAATTTCAAAATAAAAGCCTCCATTTTTTATTGTCAAATGTGCAATAATAGCGATTGATCCTGATTAACTATTGAAATTTGGCAATTAATCACGATTACAAAATGTAATCATTTGACAGCCCTGCTGAAAAATGACTGGTCTCTATTTAAGAAAAACAACATTGG